CAAAGGCTCCCGGACACCAAAATCGTCTTGTAAATATAGCTTTGTAGAATTTCTCCATTTTTCTCTTTTCACTTGTGCTTGGATTGTTGGAGCCGAATACATTGAAGAACTCTTGTAATTCCTGAAACAATTGCAAGTTTCTATTTTTCAATTGTTATTGTTATTCAATGTGGTGTTTTTTGCGTTGGATTTGCGTGAATTTGAATTCAAACATAAGGTAATTCATTCACCTGGGGCTAGAGATTTTGATTCTTGTATCGAAGTGTGTTGAATGTGTGATTGTTAAACTTGTGCACATTGATTGAATAATAGAATTAGTAGATTGATTGTCATCTAGTTCATTTAAATAATCTAAGAACTACAAGGGGATAGATTGTTCGACAATGGTGTGCATATGGCTGACTTTGTTGTAAAAGTATTATATATGTGTTGTTTGATTGAACAAGTTCGTCAGTTATGTGTGTGCTCTTGTTACGAATAGTTATTGAGTATAAATATTTAGACGTGCAAGCTTGTTGAATCATGTAATCGAACAAATAAGCGTTCAACATAGGTTTAGGACCCGATGAGATTTCGCGACACCCTAGAACTTCAACTACATCGCTAGTTATTTTTTTATTATTCAATTGTTTTAGTAGTGTTAGATAATTCAATCAAATCTTAACCATGATTAAAATGATTAGGAATTTTTGTTTTAGTGTTGTTGATATGCCATTTTGTATCAACATGGGGGGTTCAAATATTGTGCTTATATGGATTTCTGTTGAATATTTGTGCAATTTTTGAATTAAGAATCAAAAGAAAATTGAAAGGTTTGTTCTTTCATGTTCTTGAAGGAAAACAAAGGATAGAGAGAGAAAGATAAGAAAATGATAGTAGCCCCTCAGACTTATCTCTATGACGTCCATCATTAGGGTATATATATTTGTTTTTGGTGAACCCGTTATTATTACAAGTGGTGTTATTTGTGGGCCATAAAATAAAACAATTGATATAATACATATCCACGTGTAATATTTTAATAGGCGAGGCAAAAATTGGGTATTAATAAGTGTGTGATCGACACCAATTCTAGATTCTGAATCGTCTTCCTCGTGAGATTGACAAGAGGTCGGGATTCCCTGTACTCGGTAGTAAAACATAATTGCTACGACACCATACTTAACTTTTGGGGATCACTTCAAAGCTCCATTTTGGTTAACGAGTTGAGTGGATAACATATAAGTTGAAATGATTTATATATAAAATTAATATTAAACTTCTAGGTCATTGTTTATTGTTTTGAGTAGTTTTTTTTTTTCCAAACAATAAATTTATAAATAAAAAACACGTACTTACAACCAACTAATTAACTAGAAAAGGGAGGCCTAGCGCCAGATGGTAGCCTACAATACAAAACACTACTAACCGCACATAAACAAAAAAAAAAAAANNNAAAAAAAAAAAAACTCCACTAATAGAGAATACACGTTCCAGGAGAATACACGCTGCCCACGAAAGTAAAATACAAAAGCGCGCTAATAGACTAAACAAAATACGAACACAGAAATATCAAAATCTTCAAAACGAAAACAAAAGGGAAAAATCTAAAGCCCTCCCCAACTGACGGGAAAGCTAAGATCCTCCAAACTCCGAGCCCAACACTCATTGCGAAACACCGAGAAACTACGAGATCCACGGCCCAAACACAAAGGATCCAGAAACTCCCCTAATGGCAAACTAGATCCGGACCACAAAACTCGATAGCGCCTCCAAGTACTCTACAGACCCAACCCAGGCCGGACCACTCCACAGCCCTCCCCCAACCACCAAGGAAGGCCGGGCAGGGGGGAACCACGGGTAGACCGCCGCCATCGACCGCCGCAAGGACGCCCGCGACGTCCGCCGGACAAAGACTGCAAGTGCTGCCCGCTTCATCTCGCCCGCCATGGCAATCGGAGAAAGATCGGAACCACGCGAGGAAGTGGAGATGGAGAGCGCCACAACCACGCCGCCGGGCCCGAGAAGAGCCAGTCTGCCAGATGTTCGCCAGAATTAGGGAGGCTTGGGCCGCCGGAGAAGAGGCTCACGAGTGACGCACAACTGGGGCAAAGAAATTGGGGGAAAAGGGTGTTATGGGCGCAGAGCCCTTTTTCATTAGACAACCCCACATGGAGCTGTCTAATTGGGTGTTGGTTCCATAAGGGAACCAACCAATTGGTTTTATAGCAACATTGTAGTTTTGAGTTGGTTTTTTATTTTCATGAATTTTATGATGCTAAATACTATCACCTATATGAATTTCGTGGCTTGTTAGATATTAGAATCATTTGCCTTTATGTTATGTACATTTGAATTTTGTTAATTATATGGTTTCATCTCTTATTAGTTATTAAATGTCACCTAATGTCTGATATTGATAATTATTTTATGTCTTGATATTATATGGTTGATTTGGTAAAATAAAAAATTATAACAAGTCGAACTACTTTTGTACAAAAAAAAAAAAAAATACATTGCTCCTGGTTGATTTATTATTTTCTTTCATATATAAATTTTTTCACAAGGTCTCACAATGGTATATTTACATATAAAGGTTGATGTTTATTAAATGAAAAAAGTCTACGAAATTCTTGAAAGTTTTAAAAAGTCTATAGAAGTCCTGAACAATACCACATGTCTTTCGAAGATTTACAATAAATTCTACAAAATCCACGAGAATGAATAACATCTCATGAAATTCTATTCCTAACAAAAATCCTAAAAAGTTTATTAAAATCTTAAATGGATACACGTTTTTATATTGACAAAAATAAAAAATTTATATGTATTTTACTGCTAAAATTGAAAGTTTGTGATTACTTTTTACAAACAAATAATAGTTGGGACTTCAATTTATCATTTAGCTTTAAGTAGCATTAATTTTTCCAATACATTACAGTAATTAAAAAAAAAAAATCACTCGAATAAATTGCTTTTAACTTTTACAAAAACAGTCAAAATTCACTCGAATGAGAGTTGCTTTCAACTTTTAGAAAGAGTCAATGAATTACTACGTGGAAGTCACGTTATCAATTGCTTATGATGTGTACAAAATATTGTCCCTAATTTTTTTT